CTTTCTTTGACTATTGAAATTATTCGTCGTTATCTCAAGTTTTGATCGACTGTTTGTATCTTATGATCACTTGGAATTTACAAAGATTCTCTTCAAAGAAAGCAGCTTTTGTATATTTTAAAATTAGAGTGTAATTGAACTAGAAAGTATCGTCGTTATGTTCACGAACAATAAAGCGGTATACAGTGAACAATCACCTTCGAAGAGGCGGCGGTGAACAATTCGGATTCATTTGGCAGGAATGCACCGAGCGAATTTGCATTCTATGCATTGCGTAAATGCTTATGGAGTGTAGCTCCCGTAAGTTGAAGCTCGAACCCCGTGAACCGCGCAATTAACACCGCGGGCCTGAATCCTCTCTGGTATCTTTGGCATCCTCGGTGTGAAATTCTGGAAAAACGAACGACCCCTCCGCTTTCTCGTATTTCCACAAATACAATCTATGATCTTGAAATTTAAATTGTAAATATCCCATATATCTTCCTTCATATCTTCATCAAACATTTTTAAAAAAACCTTTCTTAAAGTGAAATTAATCATCAACTATTCGTACGTATTTCAAATAACTTCTCGATATATCCTTCGACGTTTGTAAACAATATTTTTATCGATTTTGGGAAAATAACTCCGCAACGATAATAAAAATGTCGATGTAACGATAATTAACGGAGACAGAAGCGCAATTGAAATTATACTGGCATCCGGCCAAAACAAACGACCGGTCACTTTGTCAGGAATCTTTCGTTCCGGAAAGTGGCGCGATGGCGTTTGAGACCGGGCCTCGATTAACGCCTAGCGCCCGTTCCTCGTCGCAACGAGGGGGAAGGGGAACAACGGCGAAATCTCCGAGAAATGCGAAACATCGCTGGAATCCGCGTGCCACCCTGACAGCCGGTGCCACGAGCCGGCGAGTCGCGAGCTGTCGGCCCACCGGGTACATGGGACAACTATGCACGTGCACCGTCCTTCGCTCCGTTCGGAATATCGTCCGCGAGCCTTGTCCACCTCCGCCTCGTCCATCCTCCGCTCGTTAACGTCCATCTCCGCGCACGGAATCGCGATCTCTGACTTTCGATCACCTCCATCATCCGCCCGTGCGTGTCCCTCGAGGGTGTGGTCTCTCTCTTGGAAATCCACTCTTCTCCGTTTTATAAATATTCTCTCTCTCTCTTTCTTTCTTTTTTTGGAAACTTATGTATTTGTATCGATGAGATATTTACGAAGATGTGGTATCTGTTTAATATTAATATTCTGCTTTAGCAAAATTTTACGAACGAAGGGTAATTTTTATATTTGGGATAGGATAATCTTCTTATGCAATTGATGTATGTATTTGTTATCGATGAAATATTTACGANATGCAATTGATGTATATATTTGTTATCGATGAGATATTTACGAAGATGCGGTATTTGTTTAATATTAATATTCTTCTTTATCAAAATTTTACGAAAGAAGGGTAATTTTTATATTTGGGATAGGATAATCTTCTTATGCAATTGATGTATATATTTGTTATCGATGAGATATTTACGAAGATGCGGTATTTGTTTAATATTAATATTCTTCTTTATCAAAATTTTACGAAAGAAGGGTAATTTTTATATTTGGGATAGGATAATCTTATGCAATTGTAGAAGATGTAGAAGATAAGAATGATTGTGAAGATACGGATGTATAGGATGGACGAGTGGTAAACGATTCTCGGCGATAACGGGTCAATAATTCTTCGGGTTTTCTCATCGAGGGTCCACGGGGCGAGGAAGATGAAACGCGATACCGAATTAGAAACAACTGTGTCCGTATAACGATACAAGAAACGTTGGCTCAGTATTTGGCGCTGTGTATTTTGGCACTTGCGTCTAGTAGCCGTTTTGGTCGTTACCATTTGTCTTCTGTGGACCATGATACCTTCAGGCCCGTCCCAGTTCCTCGTTATTCCTCCGTATATCTTTTTTCATTCGCCGATACGATTATTTATAGCGATATCTCGAGTGTTTCGTACAGCTAGAGACAGTAACTACACTTGAGATTTGATTTCTAAAATAAACAATTTTATTCGGATTGGCCAATTGAAATAATGATGTTAACGATTCGAAACGTATTCCATCTATCCTCTGCTATTTTAAAGGGATAGAGAAATTAAAAACTGTTTCTATAAATTTCTATAATTAAATTTTGTATATAAGAGTTTTCCAATTTTAGAGAGAGATAATTTAATACAGAGGAAAAATATTTCGATAACGACAGACAATTTTTCGACCGAGTTTCCTATGGGGATAGGGGATTTCGAGGAATGGATTCGCGAATTTGTCCGCCACCGGGGGAGAAATATGCAATCTCGCGCATAGTTACCCGCGTTCCACGCGTGATTGTCAGGATCGATAGCGGAGGATACGGCGAGGAATGCTCATTAGGTGACAGGATTATCGAATTTTTTTCCCCTCGACCACCGTTCTCACCCCTTAATTGCCTTTCAACGCCATAAATTTCCACGCGCCTATATGGATCCGCTGTTGATCGATTAATAAGCGAGAGCATATGGTTAAAAGATTCTCGGGAGATAAATGGAAATACCAAAAGCGGATAATGTTTCCTCCTTAAAGTTTCATCATTTAATTATTTCTTTGCCTGTAATAATTGCAATTTTGATTAACATTTTCTAAAGAAAAAATTCCTACTTTTTTGTCAAATCCTCTCGATAATTCTTTCGCACAAAATATTCTCGATTTTAATGAAACGAAATCAAATCTATTTAAGATACATTCATCCTTCCTTATTGCACTTTCATCAAAATCGAAGAAGTTTCTTTGAAAAATGCACCTGTATAATTGAAACAAAATCCCGTGTTCCGACATAAACAAAATATTCCAATAATATGAATATCTTTTAGAATCTATAAATAATAAGATGAAACTCGTAGCTTCTCAAAGACAAAACTTTATTTCAAAACTCAAAGCACGAGAAAGGGGAATAAGAACGATTAGGAAAACGATCGATTATTCGCGGATGAATCGATTGTTCAAACGTATTCAAAGGAAGGAGAGAGGAGGGGGAAAAAATCTGACCTGACCAAGGGAGGAGGATCAACGCTGATCCTTTTGGGGCGGGCAGGCTAATAAACCGAGAGGGGAGAGACATTTTTCTATAGGAAACGCACACACACGGGCCCTGCTTTGAATTCAGATCGCGCGCGGGCCCCATGCGGGCCGCTGTTTTCTTCCTCTTACGCCGCCAATTTATGCAATCCGACCCGCGCGTCCTCCGCGTATTTATAACCGGGGGCCCTTTGTGTGTTAATTTGTTGCAGCCAGGCCCGCGATCCACGCTCGCCCGCCCTCTTCGTGCCCCTCGTCGACCTTTGATCCGCGAACGGATCCCCCCTCGAACCCGCCAAATCACGACCCACCGTCCCTTAATTAGCCGAAAGTCACTCTATTTTGAAAATCTCGCGGATGATGTACGTGTAAGAAAGAGAAGATATGATCGAATTGATATTGAAATGGACACGATATCAAAGTATCCTGTTTCGATATAGGAGATATGATATATTTTTATAATATCCGATTAAAGATTTCGACGCCTATTTCGTATCTTTCGCATCGAATGGATTTCTTTCGATGGATTTTGTTTGAGAAGTTACGAGCATTAAAAGTTTCTTGCCTACGTGAAAAAAGAAGGGGGTAAAGGATTCTGTTATAAGCCTGAAATACTTAAAGCGATGGTAAAATAATTGAGAAAGAAGTTCAGCTTTACGAGATCGATTGGTGTTATTATGTAATTGTATTCGCACTTGACTGGAGGAAAAAAAGAATGACACAAAGTAACTACGCGATACATTTATATTATAATACCAACCGAATCATATATACATTCATACATGATAAAGTAAACTATACAAAAGGTTGAGCCGAAAATCCCTCGAGTTTACGACCGCCATTACGACTTTTACTTTTTACCTTTACCTCAACACCCCATTGCAAACGAGAGAAGCTCGAATCTGACACTTGACCCTTAAACCCTACCCTACCCTACCCTACCAGCTCGACACGAGGATCGGCTTTTCAGGTAGCCGTTCGTGAAATACAGGTAGCTGTCTCCGCATGAAAAACAACGTTACACCGACAATACGGTACGCAAATCCCGTTACACGTGGTGGCATCCGGTTGGCGTGGTCAGACCAGTAGTAGGCGCGCATCGTCCCGTAATATCGCGGAGGAGATATTCCTCGACCTCGCGTCGAATGGAATGGATGGAATGGAAGAAAATTCGCGAAAAGAAACGAATTTATCGGCGCCTAAGCGGCCCTCTTTAATTAATACCCGAGATGGAGGGGGTGGGGGTTAAAATTAGCGGCCGAATTGAAGAAACCAAGAGCGGGAAACGCGTACTGGTGGTCCAATTAACCGACTGGCGGTCGGGAAGGGAATCCGTGCTTTTTCTCCCTTCCGTTCCCGACCCCACGCCATATGGAACAGCTTAGACGAGAAAGAAAATATTGGCTACCGAGAAATGGCCATCACCGATCGACTTTGATCATCCCATTTTTTTATGAGGAATGGTCCCCGGTGAAATTACGCGGCTGTTCCATAGGAGATGTAATCTCGATATAAATAACCAGGTTTCTTCTCCAGACTCGTAAGAAAGAAACAAAGAAATGTTTTGCACAATAAAAATGTACTTATCGTATCGAATTGTTAATGATATAAAGTGTTCAAATTTTATCCCGAGGGAGAATTTTCTTTTCTTTTTTTCTTAACATTTTTATTCGAAACCTGATATTTGATTAAATATTTGCGCCAGTGTATACCACACGAATGGTTTCGTTTGCTCGAAAGATACGGAACGAACGGGTTAATCGAACGGGTTAAGGAATCGATTGCACGAGATAAGCATCGAGTCGAGTGGGATCGAGCGAATATACAAGATCGTGGAACAGATCTACCGGCGAGAAAAAGAGGGAGGATTAATAAAAGACAATGTTGTTCTCTCTGTTGCAGCGCTGAAGGTGAAGCTTACGCTGAGGCGACCCATCAATCAGCTGGTTGCGCAAGGGATCATGCCATGTAAGTAGATACCGGCCTGTAAATGAAAATTTTCGATTACTTTTTTATTCGAATTCGCCGGTTCTTTTCGAATGAATAAAACGGGTATAAGGACTTCGAGCATAACGCGAGCATTTCGAAGAGTAAATTCAATTAGGTTTAGATGGTAGCAGCCGCAATAAAACTGTGGACAAAAAAGTCCAGAGGAGAGTTCGTATCGTTCGTGGTATACCGATGGTATATGGTGTTTAACGGGTATTTAGCGAGAGAGGCAAAGGGAAACGATCTCTCTCTATACGATCGAACAAATTTATTTGGCCGTCAAACGAGAGAGAGAGAGAGAGAGAGAGAGAGAGAGAGAGAGAGAGAGAGGGAGGGAGGGGAATTCGAGTTAGATTTAACAAGTTCGTCAACGTGTCGCGTTTTTCCTCCCCTTGGTAACGGCCGATTAATCCACTTACAACTTAATTACCACGCGATTGCCCGTGATGGCTCGGCCAACCTCGTAAAAGGAAGTAACTGGGACACGAGCGACTTCCTAAAGTACCTTAAATTGACGTACGGTGATCAATTGCCAGCTAATGCCTCGTCCGATCTTTTCTGACGATTCCTTCCCAAGAAATTGTCGATACCAGCTTCAACTCGTAAGAAACTGGTCGGTCCCCGATGTTAGAACGATCTAATCGGAGAATCGAAGAATTTGTTCGTTTCAAAACGCATCTCGAACGTAAACTTTATAATAACGAGGGAAGCTTAAAATTCTAAACGAATTCTATCGATTTTATTCGAACGCGACTTTCGAATCGATTTCTTAAACGTTTATATATTCGAGGCAATGAATGATACAAATTGCAGTCGAGTACCGTCGGGATTCACGGTGTAACCACGCTCGGGACAAACCTAATTGGCGGGGTAATCGCGAGATTCCACGCATCACGAAATACGCGTCACCCTGTTTATCGCGAGGTGGGTAGAAATACGACGGCCGATACCCTCCGTTTCGAGTGGCGTTCATGCGAGCCTTCATGTGCAATTTCGTTCCGCGGGATTTACTCATTTACAGCTTCCAGGAGTCGAAGATATCGCGCGTGGTAACGGGTAATGGTTTTTTCGGGGAAACGGCTCGCAATGACTGTTGTAAATCTGTTTACGTGCCGCGATTAATTTCTTCGGTTAGCGTTGCAATACCATGCTAATTTTACCGGAATAAAGAACCCTAATTTTAACGCTTGAAACTAATGACAGTCTCTCTCTCTCTCTCTCTCTCTCTCTCTCTATCTTGTGATTTTTTAAACAATATCGCGATTAAATATTTATGGAAAGATTAAGAATTGATGTACGATATTCGTAATATTACACATATAAGACATTTACAAAAGTATAAAAATTATTTATCGAAAGAGTGAAAGCTCGAAAAAAGAATAAAAAATAAAATAATTCCCTTCTAAGATTCATTTGTAACAAGAATAATTCAAAAATTACTTTAAACGTTTTGTAAAGACTGTGTGAGAATTAATCTCGAGAATTAAATTGGAAACAGCACGAAAAAATACATTGTAATTCAAAAACTGCAAATTTTGAATTGTGTCATTACAAATATTTGCAATCACTAAGAATCTAAAAACTAAAAAGCATCGTTGAGAAAAATTAAGATGAATCGATGTTTCACGATCTATCGAGAATTACCTAATTGGACTCGTTTTTTTCTTGAAATAATAAAATTTTTACGAAAGTATTTAACCATTCATGTATATATATTTCGAAATATATATCCATTTTCGCGAACAGAATGGAAATTCGAACAATGAAGCTGTTCGATTCACTATGGAAACGATTGCATAACCGTCGAAATTTTCCTTATTATATTATACAATACGCCCACGCGCGATCCTCGCCAATGAACCAACCGCGAAGAAACAACAAGAAACGAGAATCGTGAAATCTAAATCGAGCGTTTCACGCGATTCGTGTTTAAGAATTTTTCTTCACGTTTGACAATCGATCAGGATTCGAACAAGAATTTACATTCACGAACGAATAAAACTTTTTATTTCGCGAGTTATCTTTCACGAGTAGATAACACTTGTAAAACACCATTGAATATTCCGTATTTTTATAAACGTCAACCATTTTTCACAAGCCACACGCGTACACGAGTGTTCAAAATAACTAACTATTAACCAATTTGTTGTCGATTTTTATGCAAAGAAAGCACGCAAAACGAAAATTCTTCTCTGCACCACTAACACAATAATTCAACTCTAATCAACGGCGCGGTAATAAGAAACGTTGTGCAAGGACGATCGCGATTAGGAGTGTTCGATCGCGGATCGTAAATCCGGAATCTCGATTGGCCTGTTACGACTGCCGTCCGTCCACTCCGATCGCGGATGATTTAGGGGTGCCGGTTATCTTCGCTCTTTGTTTGAACGATTACTCGATGAGATCCTACTTGATGGATGCGGACAGTTGGAACGAGACGATTGCCATGAGATACGATCCTTATTTATTTTTATGCTCCATCGATCAAATAACTCGTGATTTCTCAAACTGAAACTAAACTCTGAAAAAGAAAATTTATATAAAATTTATATATATTATATATACACTACCGGTAGATTTTAATTTGTTAAAAATTAACTTTCTCTAACGAAAGAAAAGAATCTTGTTTCGAGCGTCGTTGATAAATATTTATTACGTAACTCGATGAATTATCGAAACCGAAGTTTTGCAAAGAAATCGTTTCGTTATAACGATTTTTTACAACGTTACAAATTTTTTATAACGATTAAAATTAATTATTAAATTAATATAAAAGAAATGGAAGAGGAACGCTCGAAACGATCTACGCAGTACGAACGCTTTCACGTAAATGGAACGATTCTATTTGTATTGAAAATACGAGCTCGTTCGAGGACGTAATTACCTTCGTTGTAAATATTATTTACACGAGAGTCTCGAGTGTCGTCTCCGTGTATATAAACATAATAATTGCGCGACGATATTAAATTTGTCGAACGAAATTCGAACGCTTGATGTTTTTAAATTTGATTTTATTTCCTTTGCCTTTTTTTTAATCTAATCGAAAAAAAGGAGGAAAGAGTTGGAACGAGAAATAAATTTTTTTTTTAATTCCGAAATTACGATAACATTTTAATTACATGCCACCATCAAACAAGATAATTTAAAAATTCATCGTTTTTTAATTATCGACGAAATTAAAAAACGAATGTTTTTTTATATATCAATTTTGTAGCATTAATATCAATACTCATATCGATATCGAATTACGTCGTGCGTGAAAATTTTGTGAGGGAACGATGCCTTCAAAAAAATCTCTTCGCTGATCTGGAGTTTATTCTTCAAATTTTTCATTTATCTTGCCCTAACACCGTGGGTATAGGCTTCACTTTTATAAACGTTCCCTCGAAGCCTTTTTTTCTTTTTTCTTTTTTCTTTTTTTTTTTTTGGTTTTCCCTCGTAGACGTCCATCGACTCGTGATTTACTCGACGAGAAACTAGACAATTGGGTCACAGCTGGCCCGAGCGAATACGAGGCGATACAACCCGCGGCGGGTTTCGCTAAGGAACACGCGTGGGTGAGACAAAAGCCGCGAGCCATTGCTCGGGGATGTTGGAAAGGCCTAATTGATTCGAATCGTTCGGTTAATTTTAGCATTTCCTACGCAGACTCGAGACTACATTCCCCATTCCCTATCTTTGCAAGCGGTTTCAGATTCGCGGTTCACCGATTTCCGTGCAGCTAACAAGCCTCTGGCCAAACCATTGTGCGGCCAATTCAATCGTGTATAAATGGAGATACCATCGAATCATAATTTTTTTTTAAGAACACGAATGCACATCAATTAATAAACATAATGAACGCGTACGTGCTACACACGATTGGAAAATACTTGGAAGCGAATTTACTGGTGATTAGCTTGTTCCTATATATAACAAGATTTCACCTATATGGCCATAAATCTTTTACTTATATAAATCGATATGTTAAATTAATAAAAGAAAGATATTTAAATTCCCGAGTTCACAACTATTTTCGTATATATTGTTGCTTCGTATTTTCTCTAAATGATTAAAGAAAGAACGGTTAATAAACAATCATAACGCGAACCGACAACTTTCTCTTCGAGGAAACGTGAAACATCTAGCGAGGAACGTTTTCGCTTTTCGTCAAGAGAGCAATTCGAGCCGAATTTATCTTCGACGAGATTCAAGCAGGATAAAATCGCAGGAGTAATTTCCACATTTCCATTGCCACGTGTGTACAATGTTGGTACCGTAACTGGCGCGAAGCTTTTATATTTTGAAGTGTTATGAAGCTGCCCTCGTCCGGAAATAGTTGCGGTGCGCGTAGAGAAAACGCTTCGAGGATCATTTATCCGGGAACTTAATGGCGTGCAGGAATGTCGTCTCGAGGCGTTTGACGTTGACACCAAAATGGCGCCTCTCTCCGGAGAGAGGGAGAGGGGGAGGAGAGAGGGACACCGAAAACCTTTGAGGGCGATCGTCCCGGAAATTGATGCGTGCAGCATGCGTCGGAGGACACGTCCTAAAAGCTTCGAAAGTGCTCTCTTTCTCTCTCTCTTTTTCTCTTTCATCCGTTTCTTTTATTAGATCGCGCCCTTCGAGCGTCATCGAGGGAAGCTCGATGAAAGTGGTCGCATACACCATCCGGCCGTGATTTAAGTGTCTCCAGCGGGGAGATAAAAATCACGGAGGTGGAGTGTCGCGCGGCTGAGATTTTAATTCCAGAGCGGGTGGAACGACACACGGGCACACGGTGTTTTTTAACACGGCTGGAAATAGTGGCTTCCTCGCGGCGAGGCGCCGCAAGGTTGCTAGATCTAAAATTAATCTTTTCGATCGAAACGGTATACTTCCGATAAAACCGTATTTTAAACATTTAGGTGTTCGAAATAGTTGAACGATAGAACGGTAAACGAATTCCCGCGAGATTGCTAAATATGTATTTTCATCTGAGGCAACGTCGATGTACGCGTGTTGTTTCCGATTTCTTAGTCTTAGTCTTCGATAATAGAGGATGGGATTCGAAACATTTCGATTCCCCCTCTTCGAATCTATATTTGAATCTTGCTCCGCTCCTCGAAAATTTCCAAAGATCTGTCAACTTGAATTTCTTAAACGATTTTCACGAACATGTAAAATTTTGTAAACTTCGTTTGTCGAAGAATAATAACGAATATTTTCTTATTTTTTTTTTTTTTTCCCCTAGCATTGAAGACACCACCGGCGTTCCACGAGCAAAGGAAGCAACTGGAACGGGCGAAAACCGGTGATCTTCTGAAGGCGAAGATCCAGCAGAGACCAGGCAGGGAGGAGCTGGTTAGGCAGCATATCCTCGAGGATGTGGGTCACGTGGATCCAAGCCTGGCCGAGAGGCAACGGATGCTGAAGAAGGCCAGGTTAGCCGACCAGCTGAACGACCAGCTCAGTCATCGACCCGGCCCGCTCGAGCTCATCCAAAAGAATATTCTCCACACGGAGGAGCCTATTGAAAGGGCGGTCAAAGGTGAGCTCGCCTCGCCTCAACTCAACGAATCTCTTTGATCGATGATCAAAGATGATCCTCGTGAAAAAAAAAGAGCATCGCTTAATCACTTTTTCTCTTCGAAGCGTACATCTTTCGATTCATTCCAACATTTCTTCTTCTCCTCTCTCCCCCCGCACAGAGGGTCACATTCCCTTCAAGGCCACTTGCGAGGGCCAAGTAACGAAGCCCCAACACCCAGACCACTACATCACCTTCGAGGATGACTCCCAGAGCTCGGAAGGCGCGCCCTCGCCCCAGCTGGAGTCCCGGTCGGACGTTCTGGAAACGGCGGCTGCCTCGGCTGGGATAGTGACCGTCTCCCTCAGTATTCCGACGACAGGCGGTGCCGTGGTGGTCTCGTCCACGTCGCCTGTGTTCCAACAAGCGTCCAACGAGTCGACGATACAAACTTTCGCCGAGCTGTGCAACACCGTGGTCGGCTCGCAACAGCAGCAGCAACAGCAACAGCAGCAGCAGCAGCATCAACAACAGCAACAACAACAGCAGCAATCATCTCATCAACAGCATAACCAACAACAACATGCTTCCACGCAGGTGAGCCGAGGGACCGCGTAAATCCTCTTTGGATGGGGATGCTTGATTTATCGGTCGATGTAGATGGACGATAACGGCCGTCCCCCCTCTCCTCCCCCTCTCTGTAGAAAGAAAGACATTGAAGGGGACAATAAAGGGGAAGGGGGGGGGAAGAATGGTTCGACGACGATGTTCGAAAAAGCATCGAAGGGTAAAGGAGAGGGGGGGCAAAAATAGATTTACGTCGGACGTTAAGCGCTGCTCATAAATTGGCGGCGCACCGATGCGAGCTGATTAATCGAGGATTCGACGGGAGTTAGAAAAAAAAAAAAAAAAAAAAAAAAAAAAANAAAAAAAAAAAAAAAAAAAAGGAAAAAAAGAAAAGCAACGATCTCTGTTAACAGGCGAGTCAGACAAACGGTCCATCGACGACCCTCCTTCCACTGGCGCCGGCGCCGAGTCCGATGTCCTTGGGCTCGACCACGTCCAGCCTGAGCCCCCTTTCCAATATCTCGATAGCGTCGCCACCGGCACCACCGCCGGCCGCCATCACCCCCAGGCCTCAGGCGAGCCCCATAGCCGCCTCCACGTGTCAGAGGAGCGACGCGCCCGGCAAGGATAAGAACAGGAAGAAGTCCAAGACCAAGAGTCAACCGAAGACACGTACGATCAAGTTTCACGAGTACAAAGTAAGTCTCTCGTTGCGATCTATATTCCCTTCCTTGTGTATATCCTCTCTGATAAGGAGATTCTTCAACAACATATGTGTATATCAGCATTGTATAATGCACGAGGAGAGGAGGAACAGGATGAATCGACCGTAGGCATTTTAATACTTTCACTCTTTTATAATTCCGTTTATATTTGTCAGGTAAAAACCGGTGGGCGTGAGCCGCGCAGCTTTTATGTCCGCAAGGTGCGAATATATTGCTTAAACTTGGCCGTACGCGAAAGTAAAAATACGTGTAGCGTGTATATTTATGGGCTGGTGTAAAATTTTAAATCTCCACCTCCGCCTTTATTCTCGAATAAAATAATAATCGTCGAAACGTACGTACCAGCTACCGGCGACTAGAAGGGATAGGAAAGAAACTGGGACGAAAAACGGAACGGGATATAAAAAGATCGAGACCGAGAAAGACAAAACAGAGATAGGAGGGTGGGAGGCCTTAGACAAAGAGCAAACGAGAGAAACACGAAATTCGAAAGGGGCGAAAAAAAGGACAAAACGGGAGAGAAGAAAGCGGACGGGAATGGCCGAGGAAAAGAAATAAAAAAAAGAAGAAAAAAAGGAGTAAGAGCGGACGGAGGGGGAGGGATGAAAGCAAAATAAAAAGGGGTACGGACCGTCGGTAAATCTCGGCTCCCGTAGCCCGCGAGGAACCGATTCTTCCTCTCTCCCCTCTCTCCTCTTTCTCTCCCTTCTCTCTCTCTCTCTCTCTCTCTCTCTCTCTCTATAGTCGAAGGGAAGAGGGCGAAACGCAGAAGGAGATCGTATCGGGTGATTAACTCTCGCGATCTCTCGAAGGGCCCGAAGCCCGAGGCCCACCTCGTTAGCTCTGAGTAATTCGAGCGCTAATTGCGCCTAAGAGCGAGAGGAAGCCAAGAAGCGGCGAAGTAGCGGTGTTCGAAGGGGGTCCGGGTAGTAGTGGCAGCGAGAGAAAGAGGAAAAGAGGGCCAGGCAAGTTCGTGATAGGTGCCAAAGACTCCCGAAACATTCGGGATGTGGCGTGGCCGGTGTGAACGGGCGTGCAAATGAAGGCGCAGAAAACATCTTCTTGATGTATCATTTATCACCCGTTCCTTGCCCTCTCATACGTTCCTTCTTACGAACCTAAGTAACTTCATTTTCGTCCATCAGCCTCCACTTCGAATCTCTCTTTCTCTCTCGAAGAAGAAGAAGAAGTTTGATTGAAATATCGAAAAAACGAAATTAGATTATCTTGTGATTTCTCTTGTTTATGATTATTCTGTCGGAGGAGAGAGGTATATACAAACGTTTTGCGAAACGATGATTAATAATGATTGATGTTGAACGATTGTTCTCAGGGGCCGCCAAACGCGCAGAAAACCTCTGTGTCGTCCACGACTTCCGGTCTCGGCTCGGCACCACCCGGCGAGACCAGCTACGAGCTTCTTCTTCAGCAGCAGCAGCTATTCCTCCAATGGCAGCTCGAATGGCAGCATAAGGTACACGGAAAGTCAAAAAGAAAGTGATTGCAGGGAATTAGAAATAGTCGTTATAAAGCGTCCACTTTCCACGCTCGTTAGTAACAAGCGAATGGACGAATCTCAACCGGATATGTCTCGTTAACGCCACGTATCTACTTTCTCCACCATGATTTGCATAGCAATTACGTTATCACGTCTAAATTTATAATCGAGCTTCGGTTACGAGACAACCAACGCCGGTTACCCAATTCGAACATTGATTTCATGTGTGTGTATATATATATATATATATATATTTGTGTGTGTGTGTGTGTGTATAAGCAAAAATTCGTTGCGTAATTCGATTACTTTGTTTAGTATCCTCAGATCATTCTACCGGCAGCGCAAAAGCCATTGTCGTTGAACAGTAGCGGGGCAAGTGACGCTGGTAGCATTAGCGGAAGCAGCTTGAACGCACCGAGCCCCGCACCCTCGAATTCCTCCAACAATCCCTCGGAGCAACCACCTTTGAGGCCTTTGGGCAAATTGGAAGATATGAAAGGTGAATATCGCTTCGTTGTTTGGATAGAGAATGATTAATTGTCGAGATAAATCGTTATCCTTGCAGTAAGTGATCTCAAAGTGGAGTTGAAACGTCGAAACTTGCCTGTATCTGGCTCGAAGCCGCAGCTGATCGAGAGATTGAAGCCGTTCACGGAATCGTCTAGCGGCAACTCGACGTCTAGCTCGAATGGGCCCCACGTGACGCATATGGGCCACATATTGATGGACACTCCGGGGCCAATGACATCCGACGAGTCTAGCTCTCATGCCAAGAGTCCTGGCTCCGCGGTCAAGGACGAGCCGAACAGTCCACGGACCGATTCACCGCATGGCAGCGAGCACGATGATCCATCCAGTCCTCCAGGTACTTCAAACTTGCCGATATATACCTCTTCCGAATTATAATATTGTATTGACAAGAGATTAAAATTTCGAGAAATGAATTTTTCGGAGCGCAACACACGTCGGTGTTTTCACGATGTAGTCCGTGTTTCAGGAGACGACATAATCAAAGAGCAAAGGAAACGGATAGAAGAGTTGCAACGTGAATTGTACAAATCTCAACAGCAACTTCAGCAGATCCGTCAAACCCAACCGTCTACGGTTCACGCTGAGAAGCTGGTGCTGCAGCAACATATACAGAACAAGATGCAGCAGCAGCAGCTGGCGTTACATTTGCAGCAGTTGCAGCATTTGCAGCAGCAACAGCAGCAGCAGCAGCAACAACAGCAGCAGCAGCAGCAGCAGCAAAGTCAACAACAACAGCAGCAGCAGACGCAGCAACAACACGCTACGTTCCAACAGCTGAACGCGAAAGCTAGCCTCGCAGCGTTCCTGCAGGCACAGCCAAATAACACTACTGCCATTCTAGACTCTTCGACTTTGACCGCGATTAACAATAAGAAGAACCAGACGAAGAACAGCGCGACAGTTCAAATACCTGCTGCGATAGTTTTTAATCTGCCCAAACCTACGAAATTGAATGGAACATTGTTGAGCGCGTTGGTGGCACAAGCCCAACAACAACAGCAACAAACTGTTACCGCGGAGGATGGAAAACCGCCACCACCTCAGTACGATGAAGCCGCGAAGCTATTAAAGGTGAACGATGATACCTACAACAGATATAAAAGATATATAAGAAGAAGAAGAAGAAGAATTTGTTCAAGTTTCGTTTAAACGACACTATTCCGTTTCAGGTAAAAATTGAACCAGTTCAAAAAAGTCATATCAAGAGTCAAGTGGTGGATGACGTGCTGGAGATCCTGATCAAGAATGGCGAATTACCACCGAGCGCCGCACAGGACCCGGCAACGCCAACTACACCCAACAGACAGCTACAGCAAAACTTGGTGTTCACAGCGCCAGCGGATAGCCAAAGTCATTCGTTGGTTTTCGCCGCTGCTAGTCCAATCAGTCCGATCAGCCCCATCGCGATGGAGGTTTCCCAGAGCGATTGCGTGAGTTCACCGGCGCCGGCGCCACCGCCACCGCCTCCTTTGCCTCTGGCAACTTTCTCTATACAGCTGCCAACCGCGTTACAACAGTTGCAGCAGCAAGAGGAGATCTCCTCGTTCAACACAGACCTGTTAACCTCGGAGGGCGAGCTGGACGCCGCGATGCTTCTCAGCCCGCAGTCAAATCAGCAAGCGTCGCCCGATCCTCAACCTCCTCAAGAAGTAACGTCGTCGGATAACGCGAATTTAGACCTTAAGGTATCGAGCCCGATGATCGCGGATGATGATCGCTCGAAATTAATCCAAGATACTTACTCGAATCATTGATGAAATGATAATACATGTATTGCGTTTACATTTCAGGAACTCGAGCTAGATCTCGAGACCTTAGACACGATGGATTTCAGTCAATTGGATTGCGACTTAGGTGTAAAGATGGAAGCGCCTCAAGAGTTGATGGACATCGGCGACATGCCCATGGACATGGATGATCCAGATTGGCTCGATTCATTGATGCCGCAATCTCCTCCAACTTCTTCCACGACAGTGGCGAATCATCAACCGGCGCCACCGACGAGTTTGTCGAGCGGCACGGATATTTACGATCCGCTGCTAGCCAGTAGCCAAGATCCGTTTGATCTCTTCAACATGGAGGACTCTGATTTCAAGATGTCTTCCGATCTTTTAACCTGGGACAAAGTCGACTTCGCGACCTAGCCCGAGATCTTTCCTCGGAGCTCGGCCTTGTGTACTTAAATCAACGGGAAACGAAAAAAGATCCAGCGAAGCACAAAGACGATCCAACAACGGCAATGCCAAGTGCTATATATTGTGATTAGTCTGTGACTGTTTTTTTGGTGCATTTTTACGAACCGTTTTGCAGTTGCTTGCCTCTGACATTGTTCTCCAGCGACTTCGGCGCTGTGCAACTTCCCGTGAACGTTAAAAGAATTGTACTTATTACACGTAAAACTTATGCTACTTGTTATCAAGCGGAGAACTTTCTTAAGAGAGAGAGAGAAAAAAAAAAGAAATTAGGAATAACTAGCTGTATAATTTTCAATCGAAGTTCGAAATTCTAGGTGAGTAATTTATAAGCGTGAAAAAAAAGGTGCATAAAATTGCGAGAGGATCGTAGCGTGAAAACACAAGGGTGAGAACAAGACCACGAAGCAATCGTTTCTAAGGGATTTTATAATAGAAGATAATTGTCAGTAGAGAATGCCACGTATACTTTGGTCTTCCTCGGTCAGTATGAGTACCAATGCACAGAATTTTCGTTCTTTCGTTTCACGGAATCGATCGAGCATTGGAATCATGTGAGTCGTTTTCTGTAATCGTTGCTACTTCGAGATCAAGAACTCAAAAAACAGTTTCAGTTTCTGGAAAACGATATCGCGTATCTCGATCGTATCTCGTTCATTCGAAAGAAACGAAGGTAAAGATATGCGAGGACGAACCACTAAACGAAATAGCGGATACGTCCCGCAAATGGAAGTAAGACAACAACGACGATATCTTCAAAATTCTCCAAAGAATTTCCTTACGAGCGTTTTTAGCTAGTTTTTACTATCCACTCTACAGTCGTGTGTTGCTTGAGTTTTAATAACTGCGAATAGCGTGTGTGTTAAACAGGAAAACGGGAAAGCTGCGTATATGTTTTTCTCGTATGCTTCCCTCATCCAATCTCATTTCTGTCGATCCCATTTCTGCAAAACAAAACCGTATTCAATTATAATGTTATAATTGGGATAATTATTTACGAGAATATATATATATACATATACATATATATATATATATAAACACATGTATGTATATATGTATACACGTATACATATGCATATATATAAAATATAATGCTGTATGCCGAGTTCGAAAGTAAACATGCGTTGGAAGAAGTAAAAAGGAAAAAAAATAATTAAAAAAAAGAAAGAAAAGGAAAAAGAAAGTTCGACGGCTTTCCCGCACAGCTATACATAATTTTTCTAAGGCAGAGCATGTGATGTTAGTGGTTACACATACATATTTTAATCAATAATCGCATAAAAATTTTCGGAATGGGTGCGGACAAAAGTATACCGATGTCAGGGTATTGTGCGGTTCTCCTGTTTTTTCGTTTCCCTTTACGAATCTTTTTTGTTGTTTTTGTGACATTCCATGTTTTCAAATGAGCAAGAGATCGAAGCTACGCGTACCACGAGCCGCGCTTTTGTCCATATATTTGAGCAAAAGTTAAGAAGAATTCGTCTCAGAATTTTAATTGATCAACCGAAGTTTCTAACCTAACTTTGTATTTCGCATTATGTCCAATTCGGAATTATACATGTTTATAATGATTGAATCATATCATATAAGGCAATATTATATACAATAAACAAACTTTCTATTATGTTTCGTGTTATTATACTATAAATGAACATAAAATAGAAAGCGTAAAGTCCTGCATTTTTCTGAGGCATTCTTTGCAGAACCAAGTGGCTTCGTACGCCGACGTAACGATAAAGGATCGCACTGCCTAAGTCGGTAATAAAGAGCGAATGTAATGAATGCAATGTTACCTAGCGTGATTAATGTATGTGAAAATGTATGTGAGTGCATCGAAACGATTTTAGCGTATGTGATCAGCGATGGTGCTAATTGAAACCCCATTTAGAGCTATCAAATTTTCCTCAAAATGTCACAATTGAATCACAAAGCAATCTTTTACGTTATAGTCCAATAAAATTATTTTAATTCATATTATTTCTATTAAAACAAGTATGTCAATTGAATTGTTTGCTGGACAAATGAGTGAATTCAAATTTACGATGCAAAGACTGCTTTATCGATTCAAATGATCCCCTATTTTCACAATCAAAAGTGGCAGTTTGGCAAGCAAGTACATACCATCATTGTTCACTCCATATCGCACAAAGAAGCAGCAAAAATATGCAACATTCCAAACGTTCACATGCAATAGAGAAACATCACATGAAGCCCCGAGACACCATGCTCCTCGTAGCAAGCAGCCAACCAATCATTCGTAATTTTTATTTTGCGATATTTTGCAAAATAATTCTCATTCTCAACGAAAATCATTTCCCGAATACACTATATATTAAATAATTATTTAAGAAATTCACTATTCAACGTAATCACAAGTAAAAATGAGCTAATAAAACAAGAAATATTCGGCACGAAACTCGAGAGCAACGTTCAGTCGCGCCATATTTGAACTACTGAATTTGCAGTGCCCTCTCGCGTATCTTTACGCGGTCAATTCAAAATCGATGCATTTAAATGAACGAAGCTCGTACCATTTATTTTGTTTGTTTGATTAAATATTATTAGAAATAGCTTTGTGATTACGCTATTAATTCTGCATTTAAGTTCAAATCGTGCAAATAGAAAAATATATGCACGAAAATTAGGAGAGAACATGGTGCATAATCGGGGTAAAAAATCGTGCCAAAAATCCCCTTGCCACCGCGTATCGCTTCGTCATTATAATTATACCACCCGTTGCCATGACAATAAAAGTTTGTATCGTGTTGTAAAATATTGTATCATACGTAAAATTAGAGTCGTTAAATGCTGCCGATATGTCGTCCATAAAATGAGCTTGCTTGTATGAATTTATTTAGGATAAAGCAACTGTAAAACTCAGTCACGTATAAGTGATTGCAAGTAAGCGAACGACATCATATGATGACATCGATCAGCATACGGCGCACGATCCCTCATCTTTTTTGTTTCTTTTTTTTTTTTTTTTTTTTTTAACATATCGTTGCTTAGCATTGCAATCCTGTAATTATTTCATTTTCTTCGAATCATGAATCATGAAATCTATCGATTGATTGATTTGTCAGGCTGTGCGAATCTGATAGTCTGTCATGAGACGCGTGAAAGTGTCTTTGTTTGTATAATGAACGTATGAGTATTGTTGGATGAATATATAAACAACAACAAAAAAAAATGAGCGATTAGAAATTCTACGGGACGAAACTCGTCTGTATATAAGATTTTTGTGACATATACTTGTAATAACAAGCTACATGAGATTGTACTGAAAGTGAAAAAAATAATGTAATACAAACACGCGTACGCGCGAACACACATACATACAATCACACGAACATATTTTGTATGAGCATGCGAAAAAGAAAAAGATATAAGTTTTGTTAAGTATCTATGAATTTATTGTAACGATGTACGTTTAAGTAACGATCACGTAATTATTGCTAGAGAGAGTGTTATTTATTTTTATTTGTTGCAAATTTATCGATTGCCTTCCATTTGAGTAAATAAATAAATTTAAAGTTATTCAATAACCTATTTATTTCTTTCTGCATCGATTGTTTCGTCGATAATTTTAATTATTACCTCATCATAATATATTTTAAATTCATTTAATTAATCATTTTTAAATTATTTTTTTTCATCTTTTTATTCTTCTAAAACTACATATATTTAGAATTTTTTTATAGATATAAATTTAAAACCTATCTAAATGCGCATGTGCATACTCATGCGCATTAAATAAGTTCGAATAATAGTTGATCTATACATAAATGTCAAACTGAAGTAACTTTATTTCGCACTTTGAAAGATAAAGTAGAATAAAATCGAGTAAGTGCAAAAGACATGAAAATTTATAAACATGTATAGTGATTATGTGCGCATAATATTTTCCCAAATAAAACGTAATCAATTTTCATGTAATTATCAATGTATTATATCTTATAATGCACATCATATCACAAACATAACCTCTTTGATCTTTATACACTAATTTATTTTAGTATAAAATTACTAAAAAATACTTTTGATTGATAATTGTTTTAAGTCTTTATATTTTTTTGTCAAGTGAATCAAGTTATAATATAATTATAAAACAACATTGAATTAATTATATATTCTTCCGTATTTTGGTATTTTATTATTTATAGTATTGCATTATGCTATTTTTAAAAAGGACAAATTACCTAAAATTTGTTTCATTGTGTGAGTATATATTATAGTAAAAATTACAATTTGTTGAAAGTGACAATCAAAAAATAACAATGAAACGCAAACCAAAAGTGACATCAAGTGATGCAACAGCCCCTAAGAAGCACCATTGGGCAACAGGCTTACTTGTTTCTATGGAAGATCCTCGATATAAAGTAAAAGAAGATGATAAAATAATTGTCATTAAAGACAAATATCCAAAAGCTCAAAATCATTATTTGATCATACCAAAAATAGATATTCCATCGTTATGGCATGTAAAAAAAGAAAATGAAGATTTATTATTACATATGCATGCTATTGCTGAAGATTTAACTAAAGAACATAAGGAATTTGAATTCCTGTATGTATAGATATTTATATTTAATATCATTAAAATTAAGTTATTATAAGTATACAACATATACTTATAATACTTATATTATTTTTATACAGTATTGGATATCATGCTGTACCAAGCATGCACAGATTACATTTACACGTAATAAGTACTGATTTTAATAGTCCTTGTCTAAAGACCAAATACCATTGGAATTCATTTACAACACCTTTCTTTTTACATTCAACAGGTAAATATATCTCTATTTTTTAAAAAAAACATATCATTTATAAAAAAACATATTTTATTTTTTTACAAATTACAGATATTTGTAATCAGTTGCGCGAGAAAGGTGAATTAAAAAAGTTGAAATCTGAGGAAAGTGCGCAGTATCTGAATACGCCATTAAAATGTCACAAATGTCCAGCCACTCCAAAAAATATGCCGGACTTAAAAAGACATTTATTAATACATTTATCTGATTAAATTAAAAAAGAAATCTTTTGATTTTAACACATTAAGGGGATTGCTACTGTCAATGTAGCACGCAGGATAATTTAAATGAAATAAATTATTCATATAACTAGACGTGTTTTTCTGTAATTCTTTAAGTTACATCTCAGTTCAATGATAAAAATATTCTTATGCAATATTAATATTATCTTAAATATTGTAACTAGTATGCAGTGTACAATAATTGTAATATAAATAAATACTCCATTCTGTATATACTTACCAAAAATTTATTAGAATTCTTTCATATAATTTAAATATAAAAGCAAAACTATTCGAAATTAATTATAAATTATTAATTATATTAAATCAATTATAATTAATTAATTATAATTGATGATAAAATAAGGATAGGAAAGGTTGTGTTGATTAATAACACAAATATATACGATATTTCGGAAAATTTACTATAAATAAATTTGATGTTAATATTAATAGGTTTGTCGCCTATAATATCAATTACGTGCTAACTATTTACAGAGTCTTCTTATCCAATGTGAAGTATTTAGTGTGTATACGTAAATTGTTGTGTAGGTATTGGCGTGTAAGTGTATTTTAGTCTGTATACATTTAGTAATACTGCAATTAATAGTTGAACCGTCCTTATTACGCCGAAACGGTAGGCATTTGAATGATCGCAAGGCCTTGTTGTTATTGCTTGCGTGATTTACATTAGTGTATTCGAATGTTTTCTTTCTTTCTTTCTTTTTTTTTTTTTTTTTTACATACACATGTTCTTGATTTTTTAAGTATTTTTTTCTCTTCTGAGCGTATAAATTAAATTAGCTATATCTTTCACGTCGAACGCCTCTCAACAAACACACTAGAGATTTTTTGTTAAGTTCAGCTAGAGTAAGTGAACTATAATAAAAAAGGAGGTAAGCGTCGCCCTTTGAGGTTAGGAATCTCAAGACCAGTCTCCAAAACCGACGGAAAACTATTTAATAAAAGCGACTACCTTTCCCCTCGATAGGAGTCGGCGCTTAGGAAAAAAAAAATATATACATTTCCATCTGAAAGTTTGCAACGTCTGCATAAAACGTAGAACCTGCAAAGTTTACAACAATGGAAACGCAAGTGCCGCACACCGTATCACCGATCCGCGATTAAAAACGGTTCCCAAGATCGATGATAGAACATCGAACGCATTCTTTCTTCGAAAAGGAAACAATTCGTCGAGACAACGAGGAACTATAATATCAGACTCGACCGTGAACGATTGAAGCGTCTTTTCTGATAAAGCAATATTCGTACGCCTCTGAAATTTTGAGAACGCCCTCGACGCATGCTTTTGTTTTGACAGAAAGACTGCGTTGATGCTTCATTTTATCTAATACTACCGACACGCTATTCTGCATGGATGAAGAAGGATAGGAAATGGAAAGAAGGAAATTAGCGACAACTATCGGATACCTCCTCGCGATCGATTCTCACTAGTTGAAGAGAGAGAAACGACGAGAGAATGGACGATCGTCGAGCCTGTGCGCCCCGTTTTCGCCCGCAAGCACCGTACGTGGCACGCCAAAAGCGGTCATTTTGGAAAGCCACTGGGCACAAGGACAATGCCG